GCCTATATCCCTCTACCCACCCCTTCTCCCCTTCTCCCCACATCCCGACTCATGCATACCGGCAAACACATGCGATCCATCGGTTCCCATCCTGATCATGATTGCATACAAGGTCATCATCAACGTATAGAAGCTAACTTTCCGGTTCGATACGGTCTTCACGACATCGCGTTGCGCTCAGCGCAGGACGGTCAATCCTCCTCTTTCTTCCTGGTCCGGCATACTCTCCAATTTTTGACGGGATCCCAACCCCGGTCGGGTAGTCGTCGCTTCTCTCTCTCTCTCTCTCTCTCTCTCTCTCTCTCTCTCTCTCTCTCTCTCTCTCTCTCTCTCTCTCTCTCTCTCCATCGATTAGATCTCACCGACACTCTCTCGCTCGTCTTCCACCTCAAATCTCTTCTTTTCTCTCCCCCCCTTCCTCCCCCCCTTTCCTCCCCCCCTTTCCTCCCCCCCCCAAGTCGTCCAACCCACTTTTTTTGGGGGGGGGATAAAGTCATAAAAACTCTTTTTGGGGGGGGGATAAAGTCATAAAAACTCCCCGTGACGAAACCTCTGATCCATTTCCCCCCACACGGGAAAAAAGGTTCCGCAGGCCCCAAAATCACTTTCAAGGCTCCCACCCATTCCAACTTGCATCCTAGTCCACAAGATCCCGAACTTTCCATCCTATCCCGATCCCACCGATTTACACATCCCATCCCGACCTGACCCGTTTTCATCCCATCCCATCCCATCCACGAGATCCCGATCTTTCCATCCCATCCCGGTCCCACCCATTCCATACGATCCAGCTTTGCATCCCATCCCCAACCCACCGATTTACCATCCCATCTCCATCTCACCCATTTTGTCCCTCCCATCCCCCCAATCCACCGATCCCGCCATCCGGACCTCCCACCCATTCCAACCTCTTTCTCTCATCCCACTCCCACCGCATCCCATCCCGATCCCACCCGTACACAAGATCCCGAGCTTCGTTTCCTTCTTCATCAGACTTCTAATCAAGCCGACGAGCACGGGTGGGATCGGGATGGGATGAATCCTCAAGACTTGAAGCCGGTGCCGACTACTTTGCCTTTCTCCTCTCCGCTATCTTCTTCCTCTTCCTCCTTCTTCGCTAAGACAGGGAGGAGTCGCCCATAGGAAAATATTGTCTTGGTAGGTATTCGAACCCACCATCTGTTTATCTGCACCTACATCCGTATACATTATTCAGCCACCACTGTCGTCATCTCTCTCTCTCTCTCTCTCTCTCTCTCTCTCTCTCTCTCTCTCTCTCTCTCTCTCTCTCTCTCTC